TTGAATTTTTTGACATAGGGTGCGGCAGATTGGGGGCCTCCAAAACCCCCCACCCCCTTTCCCCAACCCCCTTTTGCCCCCTATCGGGCCATGGCCCACCCTGAGGGGCCTCCCTTTGCTGCTCTCCACCCCCACACCTCCATGTGCCACTTCGGGTCCCCCCACACTGCGGGGGTTTTAAAATTTTTTTGAAAAGGGGTCGGCAGATTACGGCCTCCTTTCTCTCCCAGGCCCCAATCTGCCAGGGCCCCTATACCCCCCCTCATCGTTTGCCACCAGGTTTCAGGGCCCGTACGGCCCCCCCAATTGCGCGTCCCCAAAAGCCACATCCCCATGTGCCATTTTCAGTTCCCCACACTGCTGGTGTTAATTTTTTGACATAGGTGCTGGCAATTACGGCCTCCCATTGCGCTGCCAGGCCGAATCTGCCATGGGCCCCCCGACCGACTCCTCATCGTGACTGCAACAAGGGGAACAACCCTACATAATTTTAACCCCCTACCGATTTCCTGATGTTAAAAGCGGATAAAGGTACTCCCTGTGTAACTTAGATGTCAGCCATTGGCAGCTCATGCGTGACAACCTGCGCTTGCTCAGGCCCTTTTGAGGAGGCCCACGCTATTCGTGAGTCGGCAGGACTATGGGATGAACGACGTCATTCTCTGTTGCACGTCCTGGAACAAATGCTGTTTACAATGGCTGGTCAGGGTGCGGTAGACGTGGCGCACAGATTCTCAACGCCACATTACCCCTGTGGGGGCAGACAGGAAGAAGAGGAGGAGGTAGAGGAGGACATTGGTGCTCAGGAATTATTGAGTGAAATGGTGGTTTTTTCCACTCAGCGGACAGGAGTGGAGGAGCAGGAGCATCTGGTAGAGGAGGAGGAGGAGGAGACAGAGGACCCAGACGCACCGTGGCAGTATGCTGTGGAGATGGAGGCAGGGAGTCCCTCGCATTCCTTGGCACAAATGGCCCATAGCATGCTCGGTTGCTTGCGTAGCGACAGCCGAATAATAACCATCAGACAGAGGGATGACTTTGGCTGTCCACCTTGTTGGACCCTCGCTACCCGTTCAAAAATGGTGGCCTTTTTCACACCTGCTGAGAGGGAGGCCAAAATAACGTACTATAAAAACCACCTATGTAGTCAGCTGGTCTCTGCCTGTCTGCGCCAACGTCCATCCTCAGACACTGTGGGCCCTGTGCGCTCGCGTTCCGCTGCCATGGCAGCAGGGGAGGGGTGGGGTGGTAGGAGCAGTGGCAGCTCCACCAGCAGCGGCTGCCTCAGTCTGCAGTCGATGATGAGTAGCTTTCTTCACCAGCGCAGTGAGGAAACTACTAACCAGCCGCAGCAGCAGCAGCAGCACAGCAGCATCAGGTGGACCTGGAGCAGGACCTCAAACAACAGGCTTAGGCCTACTTGGACAGCACCCTGCCAACCGAGGTAGACAATCCCCTTGACTACTGGGCAACAAAACTTGACCTTTGGCCCCAACTAGCTGAATTTGCCCTTGAAAGGCTGTCATGCCCGGCCAGTAGCGTGGCATCGGAGCGCGTGTTTAGTGCGGCAGGAGGTATTGCAACTCCGCGGAGGACACGACTGTCCACCCAAAGTGTGGAGAGACTGACGTTTGTGAAAATGAATCAGGCGTGGATTAGTCTGGATTTCAAACCACCAGTTCCTGACACAACTGACTAAATCCGCCATGAATCATGCCCCAAACATGTGCCACTTTCAGGTCTCCTCACACTGCTGGTGTGTTACATTTTTTGTCATAGGGTGCTGGCAGATTACGGGCCTCCCATAGCTGCTGCCAGGCCCCTAATCTGCCATGGGCCCCTATACCGCCTCCTCATGCTGCTGCCAAGTCCAGAGTCTCTCATGGGTCCCTGTACGGCCTCCCATTGCTGCTGTCTCCATCGCCACACTCTGCCATGTGCCACTTTCAGGTCTCCTCACACTGCTGGTGTATTCCATTTTTTGTCATAGGGTGCTGGCAGATTACGGGCCTCCCATAGCTGCTGCCAGGCCCCTAATCTGCCATGGGCCCCTATACCGCCTCCTCATGCTGCTGCCAGGTCCAGAGTCTCTCATGGGTCCCTGTACGGCCTCCCATTGCTGCTGTCTCCATCGCCACACTCTGCCATGTGCCACTTTCAGGTCTCCTCACACTGCTGGTGGGTTCCATTTTTTGTCATAGGGTGCTGGCAGATTACGGGCCTCCCATAGCTGCTGCCAGGCCCCTAATCTGCCATGGGCCCCCGTACCGACTCCTCATGCTGCTGCCAGGCCCGTAATCTGTCATGGGCCCCTGTTGTCGCTTGTTGGCATATTCCGCTCGTTCAGATGCTCCTTCTCCTGCTACTCCTCTTCACGGATTCCGTCAGCAGTCTTTCTTGGAATCCGTTTCCAAGAGACAACAGTTTGCGAGCACGCACCAGACGGTGCAGAAACTGAACGTCCTCCTGTCCAAGTTGCTGCTGCTGCCAGGCTCGTAATCTGTCATGCGCCCCTGTACCGCCTCCTCATGCTGCTGCCCAGGTCCAGAGTGTGTCATGGGCCCCCGTACCGACTCCAAATGCTGCTGCCAGGCCCGTAATCTGTCATGGGCCCCTGTACCGCCTCCCCATGCTGCTGCCAAGTCCAGATTGTGTCATGGGTCCCTGTACGGCCTCCCATTGCTGCTGCCAGGCCCGTAATCTGCCATGGGCCCCCGTACCGACTCCTCATGCTGCTGCCAGGCCCGTAATCTGCCATGGGCCCCTGTACCGCCTCCTCATGCTGCTGCCAGGTCCAGAGTGTGTCATGGGTCCCTGTACGGCCTCCCATTGCTGCTGTCTCTATCGCCACACTCTGCCATGTGCCACTTTCAGGTCTCCTCACACTGCTGGTGGTTTCCATTTTTGTCATAGGGTGCTGTATGGCCTCCCATTGCTGCTGCCTCCACCGCCACACTGTGGCTCCACACTCTGGTTTTGGCCCCGTGACTGCCCAAATGAGTGAAGTGTGCGGTGATTCTAAGATCGACGGCACTCATCTGCATGTCATACTGCCTGACAGTATTATTTCTCTTCCCCAGCAGACTCCAAGGGCATTTAAATTAAAGGTACAGTGTTCAGCACTAATATTAAGTCTCTCTGAAGCCTAGAAACACCCTTTTTTAAGTTAAATTCACAGCGAATATATTCGACTCGAATCGAAATTTTTCCACGAATTCGCCGAATCAGTCGAATCGAATTTTTGAATACTTCGCTCATCTCTAATTGTAAACTCACGTGTCTGTATATTTGATATAACTTTAATTAGAAAACATTACACATATTTATTTATTTTTTTGCTATATATGCTTGTAAACTAGCATATGGATCTTTCCTCCATCAACACCTCCCCAACATAGTAGTAATGACAGACCAAGCTTTGGCTTTCAGAAAAATTACAATTTTGAGCCAGCAAAGTGAGTTTTCCCATGCACTGCTCCTGTGTCCTTAACCCTCTTGCTGATTTTGGAGTACACATGATGACCCACAACTCATCAATACTCTCCTATCGATAATCTGTCACAAATGACAGCTGGATGTCAACAAGGTAATTGAGGAATCTTGCTGATGTCATTGGCTATTTATGGCAATGCCCATGCAGTACATGGCCAATTACATCACCCAGGATAAAATATGAAACACATTGGTGAGTGGTGAGAAACTGTCATCATTTAGCGGTGGTAGTTAATTGTCTTGGTGTGGGCCATTATGTTTGCATGTTATCATGATCATGTTCATTGTGATTGATGATCAATCTGCTGCACTCCACTGCCTGACATGATTGACTATGGATTTATGCTGTGGGACATGTTTTGTTTTTATATAAAACACTTTTTGTACAATGTGTGTGTTATTCACTCTTTATGTTTGAAAGCGTATAACAAGGTGTACTATGTACCTCGTACTCTTTCATGTGAAAGGGTGGATATCTCAAGGGTCCCCTCCCTTCAGAGCCCCACATTCTCTGGGCCAGGGATGTGAGAATGAGGCCCTTGTCCCAAATAACAAAGAGATAACTTTCCTGCTGAGAGGTCCCCCGTGGCAATGTACCCTTCTCATGTTGAGGGCATGTGGCCTGGTATGGTTTTGGGGATGCATTCACATTGCCCTTACTGCCATCCATGCTGCATGCATACCTGGATAGTGGTAATAAAAATAAAATATAGCATATATTGTTTTCTTGTTTCGCATTGCTTTCCTTAAATTGTGGAAATTGGGTATTCCTTAAAAGTGATTAAAGTTTTAAATAATTAGTTCTAGATTTATAAATACCTACTGAAATTATATATGAAAATCAATAAAAGAACAATTTGACAAGTACATAATTCAAAATGTGTTCTATAAATGTTATGTTTTATACCATTATATTAACACATACTGTATGTCATGCATTAAACAAAATGCAGTATGTTCTCTCTGAACCTGAAAGATCATTATTACAGCTTTTGTGATTTTGTTTTCAGATCAAGGTATCAGTGGCCTAAATCCCCAATCATGTTAACACACACTTCATAAACCAGTTAGACAAGCAGACAACATGGAAAGAGCAGAGGTTAAGTACACATGATTGACCTCACACAGGCTGTGTGCTACAGATCATTAAATATGTTGTGCTCTCCTGCTTCTGCTGGGTACAATGAAAGTGTCCAAGGAACATTACTCGATACTTAGATCTTCTACCTACATTGCAGTGACACAAAATCAATATCCTGTCTTATCCTCAATTGCACTAATCATTATAAGCTGTTAGCAGTCCTTTAAACACAGGAGCAAAGAACGAAGGTTATGTCTTTTGATGTAAAAAAAATAAAAGATCATTCAAGTAAAACAACTATATATATATATATATATATATATATATATATCAGATTAATGATGGAATAAATAAACATGTTTCAGTAATAACTACATGATGTTAAAATATTGTTAAAATTACCTTATTGATTGACTGACCTCATATTTTATGTTTGATTTAGGAACTCACACATTCTGCTTGCATGCCATTTCTTTATATATAAATTTATATATTTAGACAAGATTAACTGTAAAAAAATCATCGATTTATTTTATATGGATTTTTAAAAATGTCTAAGTGTACCTTTACTATTTATGAAACAGTAAAGAAAATTAGGTTTTCTGTGTCACCCTCTTTCTCAGCATGTCGTAGCAGAGCAGGGCTGAATATGGAAGGATAATACTCAGTTTCCATTATTTCCTGCACTACACTGTATAAACTGTGCTGTCAAACAACACAAAGTACAGAAAAGGGAGGCTTTACAAAGACCAAATATCTAGACATGCAGGCGATCCAACAGTAAATAGTTGGAATCGCTTAAGAACTTTTTTGGCCCACAGGCAGTGAAATAATTGGGCTGATTTACACAATGTACTGAGAATCTTCACACAATAAATCAGATGAATATTTAGCTCAGTTATCCAATCATGTGAAAACAAATTACTACTTATTTTAAATGCCCAATCATGTGCAGAATAAATAAACAGAATTTTGTCACATGATTGAATAATTTAAGTTAATATTTTCACTAAACTTAGTGAATTTGGTGTAAAATTCACTTTACAAAGAATACCCAATCATGTGCAAAGTAAACTGAAAAAAAAAAACAGTATATTTGCACATGATTGGATGTTAGAAGTCAAGCCAGCCATAGACATATCAAAACCTGGTTGGTTCTGCAGGGACTGACTGCATTTTGATCAGTGTGTGGCTCTCTGTGACAGAATTCAATTGTTTTTTCAACTTCTGTTGAAGCAACATTCTTAAAAACCTTTGTCGATCAGCATCTGCAGCCACTAATCAGTGTATTCTGACAGTAGCGAGTCAAACTGTCAGAATACAATGTCCTTGCAGGGGGGATTCTCCATCCACCCTGCTTGTGTGGATGGAAGAGTCAGTTTGTTTTCAATCAACCTGCTGGCACAATAACAGAGCTTCAACATTTTGCTAAGTGAACAGCCTATGTACCATTATTAACTCAATGCCAGTGTGCCTATCAATAATTGTGTTTATCCCTTGGGGAAAACACTTTGGCTAGATGCTGTCTGTTCAGTTATATACTGTACATGTTATATACATGTCCTGCCCCCCTACACAAAATATGTTTTGTTCCGCTCTTTCCCTGCCCACTACAGTACACTTCCATCCTGGTCATCCATCCTTCTGTTTTAACCCTGGCATTTTTTTCTGGGTAAAGGAAACCTTTAAAAATGGAAATAAATCCACAATTTTTAAGTGATACAGCCAGGACAATATACACAAATTTTTGGGTTGTGCCCCCTTCTTCAAGGTCCAAGAGTACTACTTAAATCTTGAAGAAGGGGGCCCCCTAATAGCTTGTCCTGAAAATTTTAGTGTTAATGCAAATAAAAAAGTATTAATGGACAGTACTCAATTGTTCTTGCTGCAAGTGAACCAATGTGGCTACAGTCACCTCAAGCACAAATGTAGAAAATCTTACAATATGAACAGATGAGTTTATTCTTAATTTTATACAATCTTTCCATGTTTTGCTTAATACGGTTTCAGTGTTGCATCCATATGCTGAAGGAAGTGCAGGTGCAATGCCCAATATGTATCATACTTCAAATTTTAGCTTTGTGAACATCACTAGCACCTGAGATGACACAACACATCTGTTTCGGACTAATATCGATATTTTCCTTTTGTCAGCAGCTGGCTACCAGATGAGTTTTTGATGAATTGCAGGCACCTTTTCTGATGGTTGTTTTATGATATTGTTGACATGAAATAGAGTATCACAAGCATTGTCAACGAGCTAAGTCTTGTACTACTCTCTGCAGTTCATTGAACCCATATGGAAAGGAACAGCTGTGAAGATGGGTTTGATTCCTCAGGCCAATGTTTGTGTTGTCAACCGCGACTTTAACTTGCTGACCCTTGTATAATTCATAGCATCACAGGAAATGTTGTACCTTCATTCCCATTAGGTGATGGATGATGTTACTTAAAACTGATTGTCCTGTAAAACCACTCATAGTCTTGCACATTAGACACATGTAAGTGAGAATCTGGTCAATAAATACTACCTCTCTCAAATCATTGTTTGTGCTTCTCAGAGCAGAATCGCGGTTATTGGAGGCAAACATGATGCAAGTCAATACATGATTTGTTGATTGTTATGCTGTTAATAAATACTTATAGCTAATTCAATAAATAAAATATTAGGTTGGTTACTAGAAGAAGAGGAGAGATAGCATATAGAGTGTTATGTATATTCACTGGTATCCTAGTTAAGTACGCAATATCTTTTTACATCTTAAATTTATATGGCAACATGCCAACAATTACCTGGCATTTTTAACTGTGAAGTAAGAAGCAAAAATCAACCCAATGAAAACACCAACACATCGGACCTGATTTTCTAAAGGATATGTGCCTTTCCAGTGGCATCAATGCAAACCAGGCTGAACAATCCAGTTTTTACTCTCATAGTATTTTCAAAGCACACCCTATACTCACAGAGAATTGCACATATATGAGAGCATACATACAGTCATTTCCTTACAGTTTGCTAACAGTTTCTGTTAGCAAATGTAGGAATAAGCATTGATGTACTTAGAAAAGTTGTTTTTTTCTCTATTTTAATGTAACAGAGCATCATAATATGTGTACAAATATCAATAAATATAACTGTAAAAAACACAAAATAAAGAAGTCATAGAGCATGCTTTGTAGTGGTCAACACAATTCACAAGCACAAAAATGCATGCTGTGGCCATGACAAATGCATGTTCACTATTTCATACACTGCTATTCGCAATTACATACACTATATTGTCAAAAATATTGGGACGCCTGCCTTTGCACGACATGAACTTTAATGGCATCCCAGTTTTTAGTCGATAGGGTTCAATGACGAGTTGGCCCACCCTTTGCTCTAATTCCTCCCAAAGGTGTTCTATCAGGTTGAGGTCAGGACTCTGTGCAGGTCAGTCAAGTTCCACCACCCCAAACTTGCTCCATGCCTTTATGGACATTGCTTTGTGCACTGGTGCGCAGTCATGTTGGAACAGGAAGGGGCCATCCCCAAACTGTTCTCACCAAGTTGGGAGC